TTGCATTTGTTGCATTAAAATGCAAGAAACTAATTTAAATTGTATTCATCTTTCATCCTCAATCTCAGCTCAATATTACAATGATAGATATACTTTCACAAGTCAAACTAAGTCAGCTCAGAGTCAATTTTACACTATCTAAACTGTTTGTTTGGATCTAATTATGGCTAAAAGTGGTAATCTTGCAAATAATGTCACAAAAAATTTTAGTAGTCAAATTTTCATCACCTAGCTTATTTTCAATTGTACTAGAACAATCAAAATTAAAAATGAATAATTAATAAGTTTTTGAGCAATACTTTGATTAATTTTCGATTCAAAAGATTCTTTACTCGAAAATTTTCGGTCAAATTACACATAAATTGTTTGCATCGAAAAAAGTTGAAATTGCTTACTTTTGCACTTGCATGCATGCTTCCACGTGAGTGTATTATGTGTGCATGCAACTAACTTGCGTACGCATTTTTTCGGATATCTTCGATAACATACAAGCAGTCTGAAGTGTATACATGAAAAGAAGCACCCGTGCCTTGTGTATTTATATCTGCATACGCAGATGAATGAACGCATGAATATGCGTTTTCATTCGGTCTGTGTGCGTTTGTGTGTGTTCCCTGAGTTATCTTAGTCATCACAGCAAGCATCAAAATATTCGTACATGCAAGAATATTTGCATATGAATGACAAGGAAGAAAAAGTGATGAAGTGAACTTTTCCTTTTCTACGAGATGGTAGGCGGAGTTTACACAATTATAATATGTAAAATAGGTGTGGCTAAGAGGAAAGAGGATTTATGGAAGGGCCGGATACTACCGATTATCGTGAGAGGCAAAAGAACCCGTCTCGCACAAATTTCCCTCCTTCTTTCCTTCCATTATTATTGTAATTCAACTGTTGCCGTCGTCGTTGCTCATCGCCACAAACTAACATTGGGAAGGCACGCTTAAGGTGTACTGTAATTATCACTTTTTTCATCAACAAATATTTATCGATCGATGACATCATTCTTATCACTAACATGATACATCGTCAATACTATCATCGAAGTACTGTATTTATTGACACAATGTTTTACCTAAATCATATCTATAATATATTTTCTTTTGATTTTATACTATACTTTTAATCGCAATCATCGATTACATATTGTCCTTTACTCTGCATTCCTTTTTTTGCATCATGAGTCTACCGTAACTTTGTCACCGTTATCAATATTCTTGTCAAGTCATTGCTAAAATTTCTTCACTACCACTCTGCAGCAGAGCGTGATAGTATGAAAGCATTTTACTCTCATAAATATAATCAGTGATTTCCTTATAAATCAACACCACTGCTATCAGCATTGTAAAAACGGCTGTTACCAGAAATCAATATAAGTCGTTTTTAAAATCATGATCTGCATTATCACAGCGATTGCAATTAATATTGAGGTAACCATCAGTTGGTATTTACGCCATGACTTTTTTCAAAATTCTTGCTTATCATCCGTCATTAAAGCAATATTCTCTCCCTGTGTTTATTATTTCAAAGGTATACTAACTTTAGATTCACTGCTCAGTCACTTGGTATGAAAATATGAAATGTTGTCTCCTAATAATCAATATTTTACACTTTCTGACACGAGTACCTTAGTATTTTTAGAAAGTTTCTTTAGTTCGCAGTAATCAACAACAATAATTTCAGGAATGTTGGCTTCATTTTATTTTTACCGATATGATTAACAATAATTAATATTTTCTTCTCCATCTTTTCTCAATCTTTCTTCTCTATTTATGCTTTTGTAGCATTAGTGGTTACAGTATCGTTTTAATATTTTGCATCAGTTCCATGATATCTTTTATTCAAAAAATATTGTTTTTTTGAAAGAATTTTCACATCTCTCAAAATCGCTACCAATTTCAACTTTTCTTTGCAATCACTCCTCACGTACTTGTAATGACAATTATGAGTAATTATCAAATCACTGACTATATCAATAACTATTTTTGACGTCTGAGATTGGCGAGCACCCTGTAATCGTTTTAGAGTGCATTCAAAAGAAAAGCAAAACTTCAATGTACCATTTGCATTAATCTGGAGAAAGTTTTTATTAAAAATAGTCTGTCATATGTCCTAGCCTTGTGATTAAAAGCACCTTATCTACTTGCAAAAAACATTTCCCAAGAAATTAATTTTTCTGCGCCACTAATCACGCATTCAAATATTCACAACTCAACTTTTGTAAATTTATCCAGAAAATAATTTTGTGCCGAAAAATGCTATCATTCCAGCATGTTTACAAATTTGAAATCATTTTGTGAGTAACTGACAAAAAGTGTCCATCGCAGGAAAAAACTAGTCAGCAGTCACATTGTATTATTTTAATTGAGATATACGCATTATACCGTGTGTTGTAAATTACTTTACATTTTTATCAATGCACTTTTCTAGTTAATTTAAATCTGAAGGCTTATTTCGAGTTCTAAGCAAATTTAAAGCAAATCTCTAACGACCTAAATAATAATTTGAATGTAAATTTAGCCTCGAAGTATTGAGCGGCTAAATCATGAATCACGAATCATTTGCGTATGGCGTCTAAAATAAGTCACACAACCTTGATATTACCAAATAATAATTAAAGCTCATTGATCAGTCTTACCCTATATTAGCTTCTATATTAACCAATTCACAAATATGAACAAGACTAAGATATTTACGGTCTTTCTCTTCTGATTGGGCTATTGTAAATTTGATTCTATTGATTGCACCATTTTTTTGAATATTCTTGTAAGCACGTATTCAAATTTAATGTCTCACATTCATCGAATGATGTCTTATGCTTATTCGCAGTAATATTTATCAATTATTTCAATCTCTGCAGTGAATAGCTCTCTATAGTACTTAATAATTCATTTGTTCTATCTAAACATAGATAATTAACTGTACAACATTCTTGTATGCAGTGGTGGCGTAATCAAATATGCTGAAAAGTAGAAGAACAAAATCTATAACTCCACTTTTTTCTTTCAGCAGATTAAATAGTTTCTTGCAATACTGCAGCATAATTTACAAACTTTAATTATTTTGCTTTGTGTTCAATTTCTATTGACATTTGAATTGGGAGTAAAACTATTTTATATCCTGCATTATTAATTTTACTGCTTGATTACTGACAGAACTTGTTTCTAGTACACTCAGGCAAATACAAGTGTATGTATATTGCTACGATACTGTTGCGTGAATGATATGCAAATTAAGGAAGATTAGCCCAAATTTTTAAGTACTTCAAAAGAGCGATAATAAATATGTATGCATAGAGTACTAGAATTAACAGAGTGCGTGATTGAAATAAGTAAAAGAAGTGGATCTCACAGTTTGGAGATATCATCAAAAAGTATTAAACATAATAATCACGATGAAAAAAAAAAGTGTGGTAAAATTAATGAATACTTTATTTAATACATTGATTAATCTCAAAAAATCTTTACTAGTATATAAGTGTTATCAGTTCACAGCAGACCGATTAATTCATATTGAAATTTAAAAGCATAGTCAAGTAAAAACTGCTCAGCCATTGGCCAAAAAAATATTTAAAATTAACAAACGAAAATGAAAAGCATGTTGTTTGCTTACACTTATTCGAAATTAATTTGACGCAAGTGAGAAAAACAATGAATGGGTAGTTGAGCAGTACGTATTTCACTTCAAAATCTGCATTTCATAAGCAATCAGAATATTTTTTCTGTTTTTGATGGCTTACTTCTTTGCATCAGTTTAGTTGTTGGCAAAATTTTCAAACTATATGTTTTGTGATGAGAAATGTGAAGCAGCAAATAATTATTGTCTTAAAAAAGTTAAAAATTAAATAAAGCATCTTGCCAAACTCCTGTATCTCCACTCGAAATTGTATCATTGTTAGAATCAGATTCGAATAAGCTTCTCAAAATATTGCATTAAAACCTTTAATGAGCTAATCAGCACTATGTGCCATTTCACTTGTTGTACAATACTAAAGCTAAAGCTTGGAATGTAGTCAGAATAAGCACAGTCTGGAATTAAGAGTATGTTCCTTGCTAGTGCTGTTAAATTCAGCATCATACAGTACTGATATTCAACAATTAACAAACGCAAAAAAACAGTCGAGAATTTCCACTCTTAAAGTTCATTCCTTAAAAAAAAAGATACTGCTCGCTACACTGATTCCCACGTCATTGCGATTCAGAAACAATTCTGTTGCGTATTTCAGTAAAAGTACTTGCAATCATGTTTTACTTTATACGCGCAGTTTTCTTTTTCAAATTGTATGTATCTAAGGACATTTATTACTACACCTCTTTGCAAGCAGCGCACATTATTATTTCGGAAAAATTTTGCTTTTTACTGTTCTAATTATCATGCAAACAGTTGACATGATAATTGTGTCATATTATCAGTTTCATTATCAGTAACTTATTGTTCGATTATCGATGTATTAATAGAATCAATATTTCAATAACTACCGAATCATTTACTAGCGTTTTCGATATTTTAGACAATATTGCATGTCTTTGCAGCTTAATAAGTGAAAACTGACTGCAATTATTTGAATCAAATCGGCTTGTGTAGTCTAATCATTTCTATTGCCTACACACAAGCACAGAAGTATTTCACAAACAACTTGGTTGATGTCCTCGGGTGGTGCACTACCTCAGTCGTTAAGCAGTTCATCATCTTTCATCACTCATCAAATTTCCAATTATCCGCCACCAATCTTCGTTCAATTAGCCCAACAACAGTACCAACATCACCACCATCACCCTCATCATTATCATCATTTCCAACAACTAGAACAACAGTCTCTGAACAGTAATAATAGTAATAGTAATAACACTTATCACAATATCATCAATAACACTACCACATCACCACAACATCGTATCAAATTGAAACGACAACGACAACGTGTCGACGCGGGTGAGCCACGTAATCCTTATCAGGTTTGCATTGTTATCAGCATTGTCGTTAGCATGAAAGTTATCAAGATATCAAATTCAGCATGAATAAATCAAACTTTTTGCTTCTATTTTAAAACCAATTTATTCTAGGCTGCTCGAGCACCAATGCTACAGCAACAACAACAGCAACAACAACAGCAGCGATTTGCAAATGATTTTCAGATTAACAATGTTATCAAAAGAAATCAAAACGGAGATGAAACTATGAATACTGTAATAACAACAATAGCGAGTGCTACAGGAGTACTAGAGAATGATAATAATGTAGCAACACTAAATAGCATATTTCCGTGGATTACAACAGCGGCAAATGCAGCAACTGTAAAACCAAGATTCAGTACGGCGATGGAACAAGTGAGCGATACGGAAGATTCCATTAAGAATCTCAGCCAGCAAAGTGCTGATAACGATGATCAGCATCAAGTATACTGTACTTTTATACGTCTGTTACTGTATTGGCGGAAATTTTTTTCGCACCAGTTTATATTTATGAGTATTCTTTTCCATCAGCAAGATGCTTATTTTTTAAGTTTTGAGAAGATTAATATTTAAGGATCGCAATCAACTAAAATTGCAACACAGTTAATATCACAAGCAAATAATGTCTTATTATAATTTGCGGGTTGAAATTGTCAACAACTTCCCTATTGTGCCAATTTTTGTTTATATACTTTACATCAACAAATATCAAAGGATTAAGGGCTGGAAAAGTTATGAATGAACAAAATTCAGTTTCCGTTTTGTCATTAATTTTAAATTTTATCCACACTTTAAATGTGGCTTCTCATGTGCAGTTGACAAAGTTGTCAAATTCATTTTACGTTAGAATATTTTTAAGTTTTCAATCATTTGAACAGTCAAGTCTCACTTGAAGATCATATTTACAGTTTCATTTCTCTAATCATGAGACCCTCATTTATTAAAATTAATAATTTATGAATAATCATTCAACTATAATCTCTCCAGCAAGTCTTGCAATCATATGGTGGAACACATAGTGCGAATGAAGCAGAAGGAAGTGAATTCAGTACGGCTATGCTGACTACTTCCAGAAGTAACGATGCTGAAGCGCGAACAGCAGCGATGGGTACTACTGATGAGCAGTCTTCTTTTTCATTAAACATTGGTGCAAAATTTGATGATGATAATGGTGATGATGACGATGATGATACCAATTCATACGTTAAGGTATGAAGAGATTTCACTGGAATGATGACTATATTTGCTTCACTGCAATGTCCACTTTTACAAATAAGGATTTTATTTGTTCTTTTATTCGGGGAACATAATAAATATTTGATGATTTCACTTCAAACAATTCCAAATTGGTCATTTTCATCTCTTTACTTTTTGAAATTTATATATATATATATAATTGATAATATGGTTGAATATGACGTTTTTATAATCTTGCGATTTGAACTTGAATTGAACTAGGATGAACATGGAGCAAACGAGTCCATATCAAGTCCCACTCCAAGTGCATCTTGCACATCTGCCGGATTTAGTGGTAGCTCATCAAGGCGAAAAAGTGCTGCACCACAACGTCAATTTGTTGACATTGAAGAGGGATGCAATCTTCAAATCGGTCATTTTCATCTCTTGCATTATCCAAATTTTTCATTAAAACTTGAGGCTAATTTTTGGTTTTTTGCTGTTAACGAAATATAGTGTGATAGATTTAAACTTGGCAAGTGCGGTGTTGGATGGATATCGGTAAAGTTGGAAGTTTTAGTTTTATTGACGCATTCTATTATTAATCAAAGTGTTTTAGTCAGTGCATAAGGAAAAGTTTTTATGAACATATTGCATGTTAAGATATATTTTGTGAGCAGTCCTTCTTTATATCTTCTCTTTTATTATTTAAGCAGTCTTGGAAAGTTAGTTGCATTCAGAAGTAGCGACTGGATTATTGTTTCAGAACAGAACGCAGATAGATCAAGTGAGGAAAAGATTGCAAACAATACAGCAGTGGAACAACAGCAACATATTGATTTAAAATTGAACGATGAAATACCAAAGAACGTGTTAGCTGCAAGTCTAGCAGTTAATATTAACCCACACGTATGTTAAATTGTTCAATACATCCACAGAATAATCAAAACCATTGATTTTTAAGTCAATATCATAAAGTAATTGATTTGAAAATTACAATAAGAATATGACAACCTAATAAGTAAGTTAGAAATTATCCAATATGTGATCAACACTGTTTAAGTAATTATAATTCTGACCAAGCGATATCATTTATATTGAATGTTATATTTTGTAGAATAGGATACAAGAAATGATTGATATGCAGAAACGAATTTATTCAAATTGGATTGATCAGCAAAAAAAGCTGCTGGGTATCAATGATGAAGAACAAAAACGAATTCAAGTGCAACTCATTCAACAACAAATTCAACGCGATTACGCTAAACTAGCTCAGTCATTAAAGCAAGAACTTATCAATGGACTAAATAGCAGTGTTGATAAGGTTTCTTTAATTAGTGATTAATCTAAAAAAACAAACATGAACTGTTTGTTTTCAACTGTTTATCAATAACTTTTAAATTTTATAAGCAAATAACAAATTAATTTACTAATTAGTTTTGCACACTGATGCAGATTACCGAGATCAGTAGTTCTTATCATAATTTTATTATATGATTGAAAACTTCTATTAATTTTGTGTTAAAAGTGTTGTGCAATGCTAAAGTAATCTCAATTAATACTTATGAAGCAAATTCTAGCAATAATTTTTGAATTTCATAAACTCCACTTTTTTCATTTTTTTTGTGTTCATACACTTAAAAAATTTGGCTTTACTTGCTTACAATGATGTTATTTATGAATAAATCTGTACAATAAGATAATCTCTTAGATAATCGCCGAGTTCATTACCGCGGAGGCGACTGTCAGTGCGCAACGCACAACAGCAGCATTAGTGGAACAACAACGTGAACATGCAGCAGCAACTGTAGCGAATCGGAATCCGTTCTTGTTTCATCCGCTTTACCATCCGTTCAATGGTCAGTCTGGATCTTTCCACAATCCTTTCATGCAAAATAGTTTACCGGTTCCGGCACCAATGCCACAAGCACCTTCGACGCATCATTCGACTGGAATTTTCCCCGCTGCTTCAGCACCTCGAACTACTTTCAACGCATTTGTACCACATCTGAAAGCTGCATCTCCTGCTACTTCAACTTTACGCAAGATGGAAGATTTTAGGTATTTAACTGCTTAACAAATTTTTAAATAAAATTTGACTGTTCTGCTTCTTTTGCACAGCATTTCTACAGCAAAAAAAGTTTAGCTGAATTTCTATTTCTTTGAATATTATAGTCCGTTTATGCCGCGAAAAAAACGTTCTAAAGTAACAGACTGCTCACGATTAAATAAAGTTCAGTCGGTATCTAATGTTAGCCGTGAAGTATCGTCGTTACCCAATAGTGCACGATCATCACCACAGGTATTGCAAGCTATTTCAAGGATATTTAGTACTTACACATGAACGTTAATATGATTGATAATGAAGTCAATTCTAATTTTGCTTAGTTTTATAATTTGGAAAGTGGCGAAAATTTATGGTGATGAACTCGAAAGTTGTATATTATTATAAATGAAGGATAATTCAAGCTGAATTTGGATATAAGAGTAGATATCCTTGAGATTCTGATGAGCTTGCGAGTAAACATTAAAAATGTACTGTAGTATATTACAGTTTTAGCCTTACTAAGTTATCACTTCAAGTTGAAAGCACCAAAAGATTTTTAGTGTTTTTGCTTTCATTATCTGTTCTCTATCTGAAGTATTCAAAGTACACAAACGGAAATTCTAAATCCACAATGAATAAAAGCATTTGTAGTTCACTCCACTACATTTGAATGGCTAAAAGGACAGAAATTTTTTTAATCGGTCAAATTCATTCATTCATTGATTTCTCTAGTTCTAGTGTGGCCTAATTTTTTTCATTCAGAAAAAAAGTAAAAAGGTCAAATCATTTTTCGAACTGTAATCAAAATGAAAAAGATTTTTGTTATGGTAAATAAGTTTCAATAGTGTGTATCTTTAGTTGTCATCTTATTTTCCTCCAACAATGGTGGGCCATCCACTTTACGGCAGTGGTGCCTTCGGTACCGATGATCATGACAGTCCGGTAAATTCTGATGATGCAAGTGACTGCAGTCCATATGATGGAAACCTTGGTGGAAGGTTTGTGTGCTTTGGATTTTTGATCATTTTCCTTCCAAAACAGCACAAGCATGAAACCATAAGGATTTAAAAGAAATTAATAATTTCAGTTCAACACTGACACCAATGCATTTACGCAAAGCAAAATTAATGTTTTTCTACACACGTTATCCAAATTCTGCGGTACTCAAGTCTTATTTTCCGGACATACGTTTCAATAAAAACAATACAGCGCAACTGGTAAAATGGTTCTCGAATTTCCGGTTTGTACCTTATAAGCACCTTTCATACACTTTTGATATTGTCTTTATTTTTGTACAGTTAACACTTTTAATTTTTTTCGCCTTTTCACTTATTAAAATTAAGTCTTCTTTCTTATTTTTATAATTCTGAGAAGTTTGTGAAGCTGCAAAACATTTCTTATGAGTACTTCTGTTCATTGCATTCTCATGTGTATTATATGGACTTCATTATCTTTGCTTTTTCTAATAAGTTATAATTCTTTGCATTAATTTATTTACAGTGTTGAATTCAATGAAATAATATACATCTGAGACAAAATACTGAATGCTTCAACTCATAAATATCTCTTAGCAGACGTCTTTCTTGTAGTAACAAATTTCAACAGAAATTACAGTAGACTTCAGCATCACTTCCTTTTATTTAGATAATCGTTCCACTTTACACACATTAATTCCTAGAGCAGTGAATTTGAATACATTTCAGAGTATTTCTCGAAAGCTTTCAAATGTGCCTATATTTTAATTGCAATTTAGCTTGATTTATTGTGAATACTATCATTGCTATTATCAGATTTACTATTTTCTGAATTTATTAGACGTATGAAATTTATTATTTACTTTGGATTTGGATATTTGACAACAGATGTATAAACGAAAACTCTCAGTTTTGTAAATGAGCACAAATTTGAGATGAAAAGAGTGATCACTCACTCATTCTCCTGCTGTGTATACAAAGTCAGAGAATAATGTAAAGTCAAGAATAATGACTATCTATCTAGCAATGCTTATTCTCTGCTGGCTGCATCCGCGCCATTATACTCACTTGCTGCAATTTTTAATTGTGATTGTTCTTGCAAGTATTATTGTACTACTCATAAATAATATGACTGGAAACTGAAACTCAACCTGCTCTACAAGCAATATTTTTTACTCACTGTGTACCTGCTGCAGAAATCCTCTGTTATTTGCTTCAGTTCTCAAAATTGGCCAGTTTTTACATCATAGAATACTCTACAAGTTTTTGCACAATGCAATACATATACATATATAATCGATTGAATGTATGAAATATATTGCACTGTGCAAAAAGAAATTGTTGCTCTCTGCTTACAGTAAGGTAGGGACAGGTGTATAATTAGAACAGGTGGCTTTAGGAGTGAGTTTAAGAGAAGAAGCGCCAGCAAAAATTGTCTCAGAGAATAATAGCATCTCTTCTCAAATATTGTTGATAATCTAAGTAAGCTAAAACCATTGAGCACCATTTTATAAACAAATATTGCCTTGTTCATTGCTATCTATTCACAGTCGTTATCATTTACCGGTCAAGCAATGTAATTTGATACTGATCACTACTATCGCAGTACTAAAATTATCACATCAAACACTGTTATCATTATAAAAATTTTCCAACTATTTTACTTTTAATTTATTTTTATGGATACTGTAATTAAATCAGTGTATATGTTTATTTCTTCTCATTATAGTCGTAATACATATTGGCACTGCCGTTGTTTTATGTATCAAAAAGTGAGAGTTTTAAGGCAGTCAACATGTTCATCACTTCTTCGATGTTTTTGAAGTATTGCTTTAACTTATTTATATCAAAATTATTTCGCTCGTGGGAGGAAATGCAGTGTGAAACATGACTGAATTATATTATAGATTGAATGATTAGCTCAGATGATGAAAAAACCACAGTAAACAAGAATGACTGAAATTTTGATCAGGTCATCTACTGAGTTGACTTCTCACAGTTTATATTTTAATTACTTACATCTTCTAGATTACTGTAATTTTACTTTAACATTATTTCAGTATTTTTGATGGTTGTCGTACAGCTGTTAGTACCATAATAACCTATTTTCAATTGCATAATTAGTGAATGAAATTCATTTCATAGGAAGATAAAAACATGATTGGAAAATTACCTCTATTCACTTGTATTTTTTATCGTTTCTTTATTTTTCGCTAAATTTTGCATATATGTTGAAAATACCTCTAAAGTATTTGCGAAGATTAGTGAAGCATTTTAAATTCTCATGTATTTCCTCAAAGTTCAAGAAAAAATTGGCCAGTCATAGACGTAACCATTGGAGCTAAAAAATTGCTGATTTAACAGTCTTTACAATTATTGCACACTCAAAAGAATTATGTGCACACATGAAAGCTTCAAAGTATTGTCTGAAATTGCTTTAGGGATATTTTAAAATAGTATTTTAGATACTTTTAAAAATTCTACTCAACAGAATTGATAGTTCATCAAAATGCATTTGTACTTTTGTAGGGAATTTTTCTACAATCAAATGGACAAATATGCGAGGAATTATTTAGCAGAAGGTGTGAAGAACAAAGAAGATATTGTTGTTACACCTGAATCTGAAATTTACAAAAGTCTCAATCAGCATTACAATCGCAATAATCACATTCAGGTAACTATTATGTAGTAGGAACGGAGTCATGAGATTAGGTATTAGATATTCCATGAAGGATTAAGTATTTTGTAAAAGAAAATTTGATTGAATTTAAATATTTTCATCTCTTGTATGTATTTGATTATTTTTCTTTGATCGGTTTGATGGATTTGACTTTCAGTGATAAGACTGTTATTCAAATTTCGCAAAATTGAAATTATGGTTTCTTTTGCACAACTTTCATTTTGTTATAATTATATTGGTTCTGCTTATAATTTTTGGGTGATTTTCTTGGTAAACGAATTTAGAAGGCATTTTAGTCACATGTTGTTTATATATATCATAATTTTACTTTTTAGTGCTCATATCACTGACTGTAAAAACCTGAGGAATTGTAAGTGAATTATATGAACTTTCATGTAATATTTGGTATTGACATTTGAGAAAAGGGCAGTCAATTTTCGATTAAATTGCAAAAATTGACAATTTACATTTTTTATGAAGTAAATATATAATCAGAGTTTCAGCCCCCGGAACGATTATCACTAGTAATTCAAGAAACTTTGCGTGAATTTTTTTGCGCTGTGCAAAGTGGACGTGATGCTGAACCATCGTGGAAAAAAACCATTTATAAAGTAATCAACCGTATGGACGATCCGATTCCAGAATATTTCAGAGATCCAAATTTCTTGGAACGTTTAGAAGGCTGAACAAATGATCAAATTTTTTGATTTGTAATTTTCTTTGTATTAGTTGCACAGCAGTTTAAAAAATACTCTAAAAGGTCAGTTGTTGGATAGAATGCGAACAAAATATGATGATTCAAGAATTGTTCATTTCAAATTTTTTGATGACAAGAAATACTGCTCCTCAAATTTATCTATCTCAACAATATAATGAAGTGTAAATTTTTTTGAAATAGTACTTTCAAATAGAATTTCAGAAAAAGAGGAATAGCATAGAATATTACAATTTTGGCACAAATTTAGATATAAGTTTTATTTACTTGTACGGTTTTCAGACATCAGAAGTGATCGATTCTTAAATTCACAATTTGCAAATAAATTGAGATTTAAAGGCATTTCAAAGCAATCACTTTTTCTACAACTTACTGGAGATTAAATTGATGCTGAGAATGAAGTTGAAAATTTAGACATTAGATAATAATAATATAATGATTATGCACCAAATGAAATCTGAAAAGATTAAAAGTTTCAATTGAAAATTTTGAAATTTATCTCATTTCTAGCCGGAACAAACTTCTCGTCTAGAATAATTAACTGACGCAGTTCTTGAGGGCAGTACAAATTTTACAGAATAAATTGGGGAGGAAGAAAACTTTGATAAATAAAAGTATACACATGAAAACAGGTGATAGAAAACAGGTGATGAACGTATTAACTGTTTTGAGTGAAAAAATTGCCACAGCTCCATTGTTTGTCCTTCATTGTGTACTCTGTTGAACAAAGCAGAAGTGTAATCTCGAGTAAGAGCTTTTCTTTGATGTGAACAAACTGCTTCTGGGGTTAATTTCATTTCTGAGAACTTGGCAGTCAGTGGCAATGCAACACAAACTGCTAGTCATTTATTGCTATGCTTTTCAACGTGAAATAATTCAAGGCGTTTACGAGTTTTTCAGTGCATTTGCTTAAAAATCAGTCTTTGACATAGTTTTTGGCATGTAAATTTTGCTGTGAACAGTACTAATCTGTCAATGAATTTTGCATACACTTGCAGTGAATAAAATTGTGGCTGCGAAAGACGAAAACTCATTTTAAACATTGCATTGAATTCAACCCATAACCAGTTTGATATACAGTAATGCAAAATTATCAGCCAGAGATGCTTGATTTTATGTGTCAAGTATTATTTATCTATGATTAAGGGAAAACGAAAGAAATTTTGCATCGTCACACCGATTGATATGCAAATTAATTTCATTTTCCTCTAAAAAATAATTATTATTCTGGTGGGGAAGTACAGAATAAAGTATTCTAATGATGTTATGATTCAACTCGTAGCATTGCTATTTGCTATGTCAGCTAACGTAATATCACTAATTACTTTCACTCAAAAATTATTTTTTGAAAACTTGCAAATGTTTTCACCTGTTATTTATATGTCATATCATATTTGCAGCCGAAATCTCATAATTAAGCGAATTGGTAGTTTGGAATTTGCTAAAAAGTGAGCATTACTTGCACGACTCCATACAGTCTCGTCGTAAAACTAATCACATTAATGTGCTATTTCTGCATATTATCTCATCTAGATCTTAGGTTAGTCATGTGGTTGTAATAGAAATGCTTGAAGTTCTTTTCCTGCAAAATAATTCCAGTGTCTCAAAATTTGTTGTGCATGATGTTCCATGAAAAACAAAACACCAGGAACATGATATCATTTTTTTATATACCTGATAAAATAATAATTTTAAGATTAAATCCAAGTTTAAAAAATTCAATTCTGAAACAAATATCAGCTGCCACAAATAGGTATTTCATGATTCTAAGTAATTTTTTTTCCGTAAAATATACGAAGCGCTGGATAGGGTTCCAAGTTTTGCACACAAAATTATTAACTAGACTGTGAAGGAATGCAGATGGATACTTTGAAAAGATTTCTCGTTCCCAGCCACTTTAATAGCAATAAATGGAATATAAAAATATGCTTGCTCTAAAATGTTGATCATTGCATAATTTTACATGCAACAGTCAGCATAATTGATATGTATACGCTGTCATGCTTATCATTGCAATCAGAGCAACGAGCAGCTCTCAAAATGTGCACATTACCATATTTTGTTCCTTTCTCTTCTTAAATAGTTCCTCTTAGTATGCAAATTATCTAAATATATTAGTTCTGATTGCGAAAGATAGTTCACTTCTTATCCTCGAACCATTAATAGTCGCAGCTCATCAAATGAACTCTGTATATAAGGAAAGCGATTTTTCTATTTTTTCACGAATGTCTATACGAAAATCAGGTTGTGCATAGACAGACTACCGATTTGAATTACGCAGACATGAAGCAAAATGATGCAACTTTTATTTCACTCTCCAGCAACCAACAACGAAGTAAATAAATTTTAATAAATTTCCATGAAACAAACCAATTATATCAGTCATTCTAAGAAATGCAAAATGCTAAAATTGGTCACACATGTTATTGTTTGTAATTTTATTATTATTATCATTATTATTTCTTTTTTATTATTTGTAAGAATTAACATCTACTATCATTAATACTAATGCCATTGTTATATTACCATTTCTATTATATCATTCAGTGGTGTAAAAAAGATCTATAATTCGTTTCAAATGACAAATGAGAAAAGTAAATGTATGCAAAAGTACTTCACCATTTTCTTGATATTAATTAATTTAAAGTTCATCAGCGGTAGATCGTTCTGTGCTAATCGTGTGAGTTGAATCCGTAGGATTTTCGTGATTAATGCTAATATCATTATAATTATTATGGAATAAGGCACTTGTCTGATTCATATTCTCATCGGTACATCCTTTTGCAACCATTAAATATCTGAAAATTCGAGAAGCAGTTTAAAACATTGTTAAATTCAAGAAAATGCATAAACACTTGAAATCACGTGCCATTACAAATTCTTTACTGCCAAATGTTGAAGTATGTTTCATAAATACACACACAAATCTACAAATCGCAGTTGGGTGAATCTTTTCACCTTTCTGAAGAATTTCGAGCTGCAGAATTAGAAGTTTCTGCAAGATGTCTCTGAGATGTTTTCGCCTCAGCACTAATGCAGTTGTTTCCTGACAGCAGTGATGAAGTTCGAGAAGCGGAATCGCACACTTTCTCAATATCTTTTTCAGATGGTAATTTTTTGCTAGTGGCCTTCGTACTTTTATTATTACATCTGGTCCTTTTCCTGCGTGGATCTTAATGAATCTGATTGTGATACTAGTTGATGTATATTAGAATTATGATATTATTGATAGAGTTGGCTTAAATTCTGATGTTACCATCAATGGATAAATGAAAATAACATGAAATAACTTTAAAATCTTTAAATTTCCTTCAAACTGTCAAAAAGCCACATATAAGAAAGCATACAAAATGCATCGGAGTAGATCGGAACATAGCAAGCACTATTTCCCGCAATGTGACAAAGTCTTTCCACTTTTTTCTGCTGCGGCTTCTTATTTTGGCTCGCAATTTTGATCACATTTATCTTTTGAATTGCTAATAATTTTTGCGCAATCAACTGATCCAACTTACGCAACATTCGTTTACGGTAAATAATGTCATAACTATCGTTGGAATTTTTGCGTAAAGTCGTATCAGACTTTAACTCTGCTTCATCGTCAATTCTTCTCGGCCGAGATCTATCAGCATTTCGACATGACATGTTACTCTCAGGAAACTTTCCACACTGTTCAGTTTCCTTCTTGAGCTCTCTTCGATAATATTCGTTTTGCAACAAGCTTTCCTTGCAATTTTCTTCATTTTCAACCAAAATTTTTGCCGGTTTTTTGCATGAATTCATTATCTGCACATTTCTAAGATGTGGTTGTTTTTTTTCTCCTGAAATTCACAGTAACAAATCGTAATGACAGATTCCTTTTTCTGAATACATTGGAAATAAAACGCAAAAACTTGGAAGATGCAAAATGTTGACCTAAACGAAACAAATTACAAAAAGTTATTTGAAATATAAGTGTTTGAGCTACATGTTGAAATAATCATGCTGAATGAGTGAAATAACCGGAAATAATGGAGATGAGATAGTTGTATGAGAAAAAAAGTGGGAAGAGCATAAAATGAAAATGGTGACTGACAAACAACTGTTTGGGACTAATAAGAGGACTACACGAGGTGCAACAAAGTGACCTCCAAGCAGTAAGTAATTATTCAGAGGTCAGGTTTGATTCCTGAAGAAAAGACTTGCCAAGAGGTCTCTCAGTGATTTTTTTATGTGAACCAGCAGCTTGCAGTAAAATTTTAGTTATTGCATTGCTAATCTGTGAGAGGTGCTGTTCAGAAACTTTGCTTGAACACTGAGTGCTGCCATCCTTTTTTCCATTATTGCCATTCAGTATGTGATTTTTTATATTTTTTATTTTCCGGTGATGAGTCTTAAACAAATACGAACATTATAAAATATGCTTAGTGCATTGAAATTTGGTTCACATAATGATCATTTCGATCATTAATGAATACAGAAATATTCGACAACTTACAACTTCATGATGAGCATCTAATTAAAGAAAATTTATAAGGACTTCAAATTTTGCTAATGATTAAAATGTTGGAGATGGATAACACAGTGTAGTACTTCTGAATTAGTTTTGAGCTATATTTTTCACAGCTCTGACATTTATCACCTGCCAATTGATTCTAAACACCAGGATTTTACGAAATACACCAATCAGATAGCTTCTTCTCAATTCTGTTTCAACTCTCGTCATACCTTATAAAGTTAGTATTCAAAAGAGAGATTCTTTCTTTACCTGCATAGCAATACTGCGCATTTTTTGGACAGCTTGCACGCGTCGATTCATGTGGTGCCATTCTGTTTGAGTACCTTCATCAACAGCAACAGTACTCTTGAGACAAAAACTTGCTAAATGTGCACAGTCTACATTAACTATGCGCATTACAACGCGCACATGTAAATTTTTTGATGATTCACCAACCCGGTACAATTTTATTATTCCTTTGCAATTCGCCACCACTCCCTGAAATAGTCATAATAATAATAAAGCTGCGATGCAACTAAAATCAAAATGAGTTTTTACTCGTTAGTTGTGTTTAAATTAAAGCTATAAAAACCAAAAAAAAACAAACTCTAGAATATCTTTTAAATTTGCTGAAATGCAAACGTGTAAATTAAAGCAAGAATTAACATAGCTTGATCACATGAAATGATCTTAAGCAAACATCAGCAGAGAAAACTGATTCATCGGTGCATACTGCTTGAACTCGAAGTGTGCTGTCTGCAATCCGATCAAGAAAATTTGTATTTTTTATCATGTAACATCGTCTACCAATATCATTCCAATATTCTAAAGAGAGGTGGATTCAGATCTGGTAAAACGTCATAAACTGATAGTCAAATAAATTTTTCTTTAAGAATGCAGTGAGAGAAAAAAACAGCACTCCCAAACAGTCAGATATATTTTTCTATACTCAAAATTCGAAGTCTTTCATTATATTCGTTGACATTTTGTCATAAACTGGTATCAAAGAAGCATTTTCTAAAATTTTTAATCAAATAATTAGTTGATAAGAAATGAGAAAAAAGAAATACAGCAGCAATGAATTTTTAAGAATAAAGTGAAACTTATGAAAAGAAGCAATAGTAATCAGAAAATAACCGTCAGAAATTTTTAACCACTCGTAGTCATCGAATTTGATTTCCAACGATTGAATATTCACTGATTCAGGAAATACTTCGATGGATTTAACGAAAAATTCGAAACAAAACATTGCTTTTTCTATGGTGGACGATGACATGGCAGATTGTTTCGAAGAAGAATAATTCGGTTGCTATGACAGCGAAATTAGAAAAATTTGTCGATCAATGCATGAAAATCTCTGGTATTTTCCGAATTCAAATTCTTAAAATTATAAAAATACAAAAAAGAACATGGATTCCACAACGAAATTTGAGATAATATTTATAATATACTTCGTCAGGTCGTACCTTTAGAAGTAACAAAATCACCTGTAGCACTATCGGCGCAATGCTAATTAACTAATTATCCAATTCGAAATCTTAGAAAATGTTTGAAAACACTGCCGGAAGTAACTTTGATTGCTAATAAAAAGTGAGCTTAAAAATTCTCAAGACCTCAATAATCGCGATGTTATTCAACCAGATTACAGCTCGCAAAATCGATTTCATTCCCCAAAATTCATTTACGGATATTGCCATATAAGCCGCTCATCATTTGCTCTCTAAGGAGTGTATCAATCAATAACTCCAGCTATTGTTTTCAGTAAAAAAATTAAAAACAAATGCCAAGTCCCGAGTGCTTATTTCATTTCAATAACTGCAATGAAGTGACATTTGAAGGAGTTCAAGAAGGAGGACTTCCAGTCATACTGTTTCAGAAGTACTGCATAAAGGCGGTAAAGATTCCATTGCAAGCATTGCCTTAACCTTCGCAATACTTGTTCTGCAAATACTACCACCCATAAGTCGGTAATTATTTGTCGTGTAACAAAATTTATGAGTAACTTGCTACTGTTATTTTTCACTTTCAATTTGCTACAATTTTTCAAATGCTGATGGCGAACCATTTGTTATGGGTGGAAGCAATACTAACAAGCCCTGTAGGTGCGAGCAACAATGCTTGGGTATCATTCATTTATCACATTGCTGTCGTACCTTATCCTACAGTCCGTCTGTTATGATTTCCTTCTTTTGAAAATCCCACAGAAGGGATAACAACAGTTTATGATTCCGACAACGAACTTCCACAGCCCAAATGGTATGAATAAAGATCGACTAAGCAAATTAAAAGCATATCATGTCCAATTCGGCTTTTCAAGTTTGACCAAACAAGACGCACAAGTAATCAAATTGTCTTTCATTGCTAGAACGCTTATCCAATAGTTGTACTTACTGGCTAGTGGTTGTTGTACTTACACACTTTATCGGATTATGCTGACGAAGAAAATGTGCATTCAACGGATGAACAATGAACAGCTACAACACAGTGAAGAAGAGAATATGATGAGAGCAACATGATTCAAAATTAAATCCTGTAGATTACTAACTGGAATATATCGATCTGGAACCAATATAATCACTGCAGTCACACATACACAAAACCCCACTAGTAATAATGCAATATCGACAAAATTTTTGTGATTCACGTTCTATTACGCACTTTACAAATGAAAATAATACACAAAGAAAACATGTCTAACAAAATTATGAGTCCACATAATGAAATAAATATTAGTTAAAATCATTTAAAACATTTGACTCAGCTTAACTTCATAACATAAACTCTAATAAGTATGAGGCACTCACAATTATAACAAGGTTCCCAATTCCAATAGCACATCTCTTTTTGCTTTGTAATCCTCACTCAGCCATGTTCTGTACTCAAAAGCAAAAAAATCTTGATCAGCAAAATCTAAGTTTTTTCTGCCACAAATATTTAATATTATTATAAATGCAAAAAATACAAAAACAGAGATCCACTCATTTTAAAAATCAACATTCAGAAGCGCAAACGAATCTTTGTATTCATTATATGAGAACTGAAGAGTTCTGATGTGATTTTCGATACACTTTATATAATTAGTGAAAAGACGAAGTTCAATAAGAGATATAAAATTAATACTCAGAAAAGATTATAACACGAAAAGTTAAAATTGTTATTAGAATGACTAGGTAGAGCAAGGCTTAAAAAAATACGAACGTTCAAATTGTATTTTATGCAAAAAAATGTGATCTGACAAGTAATGTATCAAGCTCTGATACGAGACTGAAGTGCACTGTGAAGTATTTCTCATTTTTCATGTTTTCCACTTATGAAAAAATATAATGCTAGCTAATAAGTTTAACAATAAAGAAACGTCCCAACAAAAATTTGGATTCCAATAAATAAGAAACAAGTAATTGCAGAATGGATGAACGCATAAAATGAATAAGTTATGAACTTTAAATGACTATATACAATATAATAGTGCATTTTAAACTCACCAAACATCGAGAGACCGAATATCAAAAGTGATATTAAGAGCCAAAATTATAACATTTAATAGTAAAAAGCTCCATAACAATAAAAAGTTATAAAATTTTGCCAAATTTCTACAATCAAAATTCTTCATAAAACTTTTCAATGGGCACATTCCTCTTAGAAACTGAGAAACAATATTTGAGCAATAAAACTTACACAAAATAATTTAAAAAACTAGACGAATAAGAATATTCCATATTAAGATAACTTTTCGATAAATTATACGAATTACTTCCAAAAATCCACTATATTAACAATAACTGCCACTACAAAGCAAAGAAAAACAACATGGAACAGAGGAGTCCACTGTGTTGAAACATTTTACCAATTACTTCTGCAAAAATTAAGTCAGTGAAATCCAATAACTTAAACCCCCGGTATTTCTTTGAAATACATGGCATAAAATCAATTTGTGTGATACAAGTGTTTGGGATAAATACGAAAAAAAGTACTAGCTTATGATTTGATTCATTATATACTGATTTAATAATTGAAAAATCAACGCATAATGAAAACTCTATCAAAAAAAATCCATGAAAGAGTGAAAACTGATGCCTACTAACAATAAAAGATGTTCAAACAAATCCTTGTTTCTCATAACTTTTAACACCATAATATTAACATTTAAATAGACACAACAGCTGATTTTCTTAACAGACTAGGTAATCAAAATTTGAACAATAATATCTGAACAACTGAGCAAAGAAATATTTAAATCTACAATCCGATAACACTATTTTACAAACGAAAAACTTTCCACTATTTATGCATTATCATTTTAGAAGAAATTAGAAGAACAGGAATATACGATTCTTAATTCATAACTGCTTGTTTTTTTAATTCATAACTTTAAAATCGTATCTTGCGAACGTAAGCTTTTTCAAACTCTGAAAAATCTTCTTCTATTTGTGCATTGATATCTTGCAAGCACAACATTGCATGAGTTTTGACAACCAAATCTTCATCTTGATCTAGTATATAGCTTAATAAATCAGCTATATCATAGAGATACGTTGACCCCTGCTGTAAAAATTGGATTGATACTCTCTAAAATGTAAAAGTCCTTTCCTTGTCTGCGACCATCTTCAGTAATGTTATTTAACTTTTAAGAAAAAAAAATGAAAAATTCAAATTAGTGAGCATTAAGAGCTGGAAAAAGTTAAAATAAACGTTATTTTCTAGAAATACTTAAAAATCTTCTTACTTGCAAAAGACTGATATCATAAGTTCTTACAATCGAACGCATTAAGTTGACTGCTGCACGCCGAACGATTTCCGCTTCCGCATCACGTAAATTTAATTTTGCTACCAACATCATCTGTAACACTTAGCTTATTAACACAGTTACACAAATTACTTAACTGCGAGCATCTTACTTGAGAGTCGAAAACAAATTGAAACTGAAGCCCTTACGTGCTTCAACCATAAAACATCGATAACAGTCGAAAATCACGAAATATCAGTAAAATTTACTATTAAGTGCCCCGAAATTCCTTTCTATTCATACAATTATTCAAGTCGACAAATTGTAAACAACAATTAAGGGCAGCAAAAAATGAAGGTTAGAACACGATTTCAAAAAACAAAAGCGATGAATCTTGAAATACAAAAGACACGGAATTAATAAAATATGCGAAACCTCATTTATATGTTTATGGATATTCAATCCTCGACAGGATATGATAAGATCAGATAAAGATGACAGTACAGAAGCACGCAACTGATCATCCGTAGTATGAAATATCAAGGATAACATTGGATTCACTATACGATCGAAGTACGAAGGTGCCATCTGTCCTAAAGAGAATTTTCATTTTTTATTTATGACCACAGAAAAAAGCGACTCAAAACATGCTTCTTTAGCTTTACATTTCTGTGATATGAGAATTAAAATGCATATGTTTGCATCCTGAGCAATGAAATTATATTCTTTTATAACTATGAGTTCAAAACTTGGAGAATATTTAATGCTTCATACTGAGAAACATTATGAATACACGAAGATCTATCGGTTATGCACAGTAATAAAATAAACTTATAACAGCATTAACGAGTGAGTTATTATGATAATATGGAGCTAAAAAGATAACAGAAATTAATTAGAAAATTCATTAAATTTGCAATAAGTATATCTTTGAAACAGTGATACCTAGAGTTTTACATGCCTTCGAAATAGCCTCACCAATTTTAACTCTTTGTATTATTAAATAGGTTTCCTTTTCATCTTCTTTCAAACTGTCAACTGCAAAGAAATTTCGATCACAAAACAATGCTATTTAAAAGAGTAGTGATTTTCAAACCTTTACAAAACTTTTACTGAGTAAAAAATAAGAATTAATGACTTAAAAGATGACTTTTATTATTATCACCAAGAACCATAACAACCGAAATGAAATTAATTAATAAGAATTTTAATCAGAATTATATTGGTACATACTAACAACATAAATGAAGTTAAATGGAATATTACCATCACGTTTAAGAAGACTTTGCAGTTTCTCAACTGGATCCAAGAAAAATTCAACCATTTCATCAAAAAATTGCTGTTTCCAGTACGCCAATTCTACCATGGCATTTATTGCTGATAAGTAAACGTAAGAATCGCTATCAGCAACATGTTCTGAAGAAACTGACAATAATGTTCCCATTACGATTGAACGAATTATGCATTCAAAATGCGATTATAAATTATAAATAGAATTAGAGAAAAACTTTTAGAAATTACAGTTACTAATGTAACCAACCTCACACTGTCCACACAAAAACATTAATCAGTCAGCGATATTAACAACTTACCCATGACTGTAGACATAATTTTAGGATAGGCAAAAATGTCCTCCAAAAGTCGTTTGTTCCTTTCACGAATACCCTTCGCTAACATAATTAATGCATGACCACGAATAGGTTCCGACTTGTCCAAAAGGTCCGATTTAATTTCTTCTAGTGAATAAACTTCAGTTCTTCGAGAATTTCTTGATTTCTCACTTTCATCAATGAAACTGAAAAATGATTGAACAAACAACTAATGAAAATTTGGTTAATAATAAACATTTTTAAACATTAATAAATACGTTTTCAGAAATAAATTTAACATGATTCACAATATCTGATCCTCATTTTTTATTTGCTTGTGTGAAACTAATTAACGCAAACTCACGAAGGCACCACATCATCTTTCGATTCAACGTCGTTTGACCTTAAAATCATGATAATTCTGTGAGCAAGCTCTTGAAAGTCCAAAAATAGTTGTTTGTCTTTTTCATTCAGATTTGAGATAGCTTTCAAAAACTTTTGTAATACATTTGCCCCTCGAATCAGATTATCTGTAAGCTGAAAACTGCAAAATCATAAGCAACCGAACGCTTCAAACAGAGAATCTCAAAAATATGAAGCCACAAAACGAATAAGATTTTCAAGACATCTTGAAAGGAACTTCTAGCGTCAAGTTACCACTTTCAAGCGAGCTCCTTTCCGACAGAACTGACAGAAAGTAATTCAAAAAATAATTCATTATCTTTTTTCACTCCATCTTATAAATGAGACAATGAAGCAGTAGTTATGAAATGCTTACCAGAAATATTATTTATAAATTTTGATTTTGAGATCGTAATTACACTACTACCAAAAACACATATTACTACTCAATTAATACATATTAATGAACAAATATGAACTTTTACGAGATCTCCTTGTTTGAAAACTAAAATACACTGGAAAATTGTCAAAGCCAAACGAATATTATTTCGAAAATTCTCTTCAAGTTCTTTATCTTCTTGTGACTGCCCACTTCGAATATCAATGATAACAGAATTCACACGCATATTCAATTTGACAGTGACAACATCCAGAATGCTCTGCCATAAGAAGGAATTACTTTTTATTATTAGGGCTAATTTGAATGCATAAGAAAAGATACTTCAAAATATGCAAGATAAAAAATGATACATTACAAACAGTGTGAGTTATTGTACCTAGTTTTTCTTATTGCAGCAAATAAAATGAAACATAAAAATATGTACAAAGTTTTTTAGCATGTAGATGAAATTATATTTAAACTTTAATAAATTTTTCAAAAGGAATTTTTGAAGAGTAAAGTATTTCACGAAAAGATGTAAACCAGCCTTGAAAATGAGATTTCATAAAAACAAACTAACCAATGGAATGTCTAAAAGATTTTCCAAGTTATCATCAGAAAGTGTGATCGTTTCTGATAAAACTGGCAGCAGGTGACTGATGAAATAATTCACCTTGTGTTTTCCTGAAAATCAAAAAATTTTGTTTCAATCATATCAGGAAATAAAACAAAGAACTATAGAATAAATGAGAACATCATTGTTTGCCTTTTAAGTGCTCAAAGTTTATTACAAATTCACAAAATCTTAAAGCAGAAAACGCCTAAATACCCATTTCGTTTAAAATCGAAGCTTATTTGCAGCAGTATTTTGTTAAATTTACAATTTTTTACTTTCTTCAAGCCCTATTCCATCGTTATCACATATTTCTTGTGAAGTACTAGTGCTTTCAAAACTACTATGCTCGGAATCATATTCTGCCCAGCGCTTAATGCAACAAATTGCAATTCTGATCAACAGACGTCGCGACGCCACTGGCTCCTCTTTTTGAATAATCTAAAAGGAAATCATGGAATCAGCCGTAGTGAATCTCGTTTTTAAATTTAGAGTTAAAAAGTGACTTCAGGAGATTGAAATTTCTCTTTCTACAACATGAAATTGTCAATGCTATCACAAATCCCTATCCCAAATGTCCTATATATATGACATTTTTACAATTCCGTATGTGATCATTTCGTATAGGACTGTAACAAACTTCCACATTCGCTATGCGAAGAAGATCAGCATATCTGATCACGTCGAGGCGCGCATTCAATCCATAGTTTTCAAAAAGACGCTCGAATACATCTCCTTTGACAATCGATATGGATTCCACGAGGACGAAGCGACAACGATGAGCATAACAAATCTGAGCGCCAGTGTACCGGAATCCGGTGCCAGCAGAATGATCACACTTGAAGCAATCGTCCGAATTGAAACCCACGAACCAAGTGACGAAGAAAGATGCCGAAAGAGTTCTTGACCGATTTGGAAGAATGCCGAGGGGGATGACCATTGTGTCGTTCTTTGTATAGCGAGAAGTTATCGTGTGCTATTACTCTCAAAGAACTGAAGAAGCAAGTGAATTCTGTGATCATTAGTATTTCAGGTCGTCGTGTTCACAGAAATGATTTTCGGAGGAGTCCACGAAACGCGTCAATTTACAAGATATGCAGGAAAAATAAGCATATTTTCCTCGAAGTCTAAGTTTTTACACGAGTCTAAGGTTTATCTAGATGTGAAGGAAAAATATCTAGTGATGATGCAAGAGGTACAGGGACGTGAGATAAACCGAAGTGGACGGGGAAAATAACATCGGAGAGCGTGTATCCTTCATACTTGGAGCAGTAAATGAAGCGGCGGGTGAATATGCTACATAGAATCCGCCCAAGTCAATGACTGATATTGCAAGGCAGTTCCAGGCAGCACAACAATGTTATGAAAACATGACGAGGTGAGAGAAGAAGCCATAGGGGTGGAGAGCAAGCATAGAAAAGAAGATAAGCTTGTTAAATTTCCACAAAACCCTCATAGAACGGACTTTTGCCGGTGAATACTGAGAGGTAAAGACTTAAAAGAGGCAAGAACCGTATGAGGGAGATGAATCTCATACTTGCTCTTAAGCTTCACTGTCATGAAGCGTTAAGCATATTGACAGACCGGTGAGATTTACGAAAGTAAAATAAAAAGTTATAAGACCCGTTGTGCATTCAAAATACAATACGCCAGATTCGAGCTGTTCAGAAGACGGTTTTATAGAAGTCTGACCGAAGAACAGCCTGTAAGCCACAATAAAAGGACTGAGGAAATCAGGGATGTTTGGGATACGATGTGGAACTTCGGATTGGGAAAGTATGATGATATCCAGCACAACGCATATCTAAAAGAATTCATATGAAGTGCATCATACATTTCCCTCTGAATCCGAATTTGGGAAGAAAGTCAGTCTATTAGCCCAGTGAAAAAGCGGCAGGGCCTGATCTTTATTAAGAAGT